AAGAAAGAAGAATATAAAGAAAGATCAGTTAAATGAACATTTATTGGAAGTAGATGTTCAATTTTTTTCATGATCAGCAACAAGAATAGGTGGTTGAGGAATTGATTCATCTTGATTTTGTACATTCCATACTGCTTTCATAAATGGTACATATGATCGATTTATATAATCAGGCATTTCTTTAACATTTGTATGTCCAGCATCTTCATAAATCTATTCAAAAGAGTAGTATAGAAATATGATAGAGAATGTTTAAATTACCTCTAATTGTACATGTTTGGAATTTGTTGTTGCTTGAAAAAGTTGTTTTGTATGTATTGGATTAATCATTTCATCATTTAATCCACTTAAATACATAACAGGTACACGAAGTTGATGAACTTTATCAATCGATCTCATTCCAACAGAAAATAATTTTGATGGTAATAACCATGCTATAGTTGATTTAGCTGATGCTGCATCTTTAAACTAACAAAAAATGAATTATTAGTAAATCAAAAAAGAAATAATTATTTTACCGATGTAAAACCATTTTCTAAGATACAGGCATGAATATTATCTGAATTATGAGATTCACTTGCTAATTGTATAACTAAAGCAACACCCATACTTACACCATAGACAATAATTCGTTTTGGATCAATTTCATCTAATGTTAAAAGATAATCAAAAGCTGTTTGAACATCAATATAAGCTCCACGTTCTGATTGTTTGCCGGGTGAATTTCCAAATCCTCGATAGTCAATTATTAAAACATTACCAAAATCTTTATAAAATCGATCAGCTATTGAACTTAGATCTTCTATTTGATGTCGTATTCCATGACAAATTAAATATGTATAATGCTGTCGACTATTCTCATGTAAAAGTAAAAATCCATGAATAAGTGCTTGATCGTATGTTAATAAATATATATCTCTAAACATTAAAAAAAAATATACATTACTCAATAAAAAGTATTTTTGTAAACATACTGATATGGTTGTTGAGGATGTCCTTGATCTCCATGAACAGTTTCCATCAATCGATGTGTAAGAATTGAATCTAACCATGGTTTTAATTCACTATGTTTGTTAATATAATCCATTTGTTCAAGATGAATTTTATATTCTGAAGATTGTTGATTAATTGGTGGAGGACCAAATCGACGTTCAGGAACATTTATAACAAGTTTACCGTTATATTCTTTAGGAGCATCATATATTGGATCTTCTCTTCCTTCTAATGTATGCTAAATATTAATAAAAAAGTTAAACAAAAAAATAAGTAAATATGAAAGTATGATTTATTTTACTTCAAGTCGAATGTCCTCATCGTTCGATTTTCGTGGATTCTTACTGCCACCCTGATTAGACGTCATTTTCGAACAGAATAATAACGATGCAATACGGTCTCTTTCTTATCTTCATCATTTTTGTGTGCGAAAGAAATAAAACCCAAAGCAAACATATTAATAATGATAAAAAGTAGATAAAGTCAAGCTCAAAACATTAAAGCAAAAACATATTTTCATCTCTTATAAAATGGTCCGCAGCAAAGTTTGAGCTTCTTCGATAGACAGAATAAATCTTTTTTTTTATACGCGTATTATTTTACTCTCTTATGCTGATGTTTGATTGATCACACTCTTCAAGTACAAGGTATTTATTCAAATCGATAAGTTTTGTTTTTGAAAATGATCAAATCATTTTAGAAAGAATACTAGTGCCAGATTTTTCTCGTAAAACTAATATGATGATAATTGATTCATAAAACTTATACAGAAGGTTGTTCCCAGTTAGACGAAATCTCTAAAAAGTGCTGTCTTAAAGACTTATTTAATCACGTAAGAAATACCCCTTAGCACGTTTAAATGAATAAAAAAATTGTTTCAGACTTACGCGTTTTTATCTGTCTGCACGACAAATTTTATAAGTTTTATTGTGTTGAAAGACACCAGGGCGTATTGACGTAGAAAGATCAGCTACAAAAACATTGACGCATATTTTCTTAAATCCGTTTTACTACGTTTAACAATTACTTGTTATTTTCCGTTTTGTTAAAGTAAATCAACACGTTTAAATGGATTGTCTCTTGAAATTTGTTAAAATGCTGTATCTATAGTTTCATAGCTTATGCTTATATGAAAATTCGTATTTATAGACTATTCTACTTTTTTAGCAATCATAAAAACTAGGACATTCTTAAAAACATACGACTAATTTGTTCCTGTATATGGATGAGATTATGCCAATTTCTATTATCTATTTGTTTAACTCGTTTATGTATTATTTTGCTCGAAGTTTCAATTTTTTCACTGTTGAACTTTTTTTAGAATGTCGTGTACTTGTCATTTGTTTTAGATTCTTCTGAGTCAGTTGTTTTAACTTTCGAAGAGACATTTCTACCATTTTTATCATTAAAGATCACGTTGACTCATACATAGACCTCTTAGGTCTCTGTACAACTCAAAATTTTCTACTGCAGTCAGATACACTTCTGCTATGAGTTTGAAATCTGCTCGGAAGTTCTTCGTGCATGCTATCTGAAACTCTAATGTTTCTCCAGAAAGGGACGGAGATCCGATCTTTTTTGAGTTAGGTAACTTTTTAAAATTTTTTTTCAGATATTCGTACTAGTAAATTTTTTGCGACTATTTTGTTGTTATTTTTTTAGCACAAGTCAATAAAACTCTTATTAGGAGAACATTCTTCTACGTTTTATCAGCTGCTTAAATACGCACATACAGGGAAAAACAGTCTAGAAAGTACTAACAACTTTAAATGTCTACTATCAATATTTTTATAGTTTTTTGTTTTTGAAAGCATGTAGAATAAATATGGATTACTATTCTTAAAGTTAATCATAACCAGAAAAATCGAAAAATAAACAAAAAAATAGGGATTCTCAGATAGACTCATTGCTAAATAAGTAAACCAAAAGTCAAAATCAGATTTGAATTCTATACAGTTACTATTGTGCACTTGCAATATTGAAATTGTTGCTCAATTAGATAAATTTAAAAATGGTACCGACAATAAGTTCTTCATAAAGAGCATTATATCTGTCTACCTCAAGAAGGAATTTTTTCAGAAAAAAAGGTAACGCATTAGAATCGTCGTTAAAATTTAACTCTGATCCCGTAATTTGTTTACTAGTATTCCATAACTAGCTCACCAACGTTTCTAAAATAAAGTCTTTTCATAAAGCAGCTACAGCAATATTTATTAAGTATTATTTTGATAATGTCTCAATGTGGAGGAAACGAAAAAAACATTTATTCTTTTGTCAAAAGAAAGACCGCAGATGATAGTTTGCATAACATTTGATACTGGGGATTCGAAGCTAGACATTCAGATGTACGATTAGTTTCAAGTAAGGAAGAAAAAATTCCAAAGGACAATATTACAATTAGTGCTTAATGTATAGTGTTTCAATGACTCTCAGAACTAATTTTTCGAATAACAAAATAAATTTTCTTACACTTACAAGTTTTGGAATAAATACTTAATTCATGAAGTGTCGCGTTATATGGACAAACTGTATATAATGATCCATTTGCCTTCTTTGTTAATGCTAAGACATCTTTATATTTATCATGATGATGAAGAAATTGTTGCATTTGTCTCTCCTTTCCAGTATGGAGTTAATTTCGCATATTTTTTATTATTCGATATTTTCAACCAATCATGTGACTCGCTAATTTTTTTACAGTGAATCGTAAGAGAGTTTTACAACATACCTTAAGATAACATTTCCCTCCCACAGAAGTGAATAAAAATATAAACTTTTTGATAAAGACATCGAAGTAAAGAAATGAAATTTCTTTGAGTTTGATGGTCCGATCTGACTTGATAGTGTTCATTTAGGTGTCATAAGTTCTCATCGCCTTAGAATAATTCAGTATATCGAGAACTCTATGTAGTTCTGAATAATTTTTATATTGTCAGATCGCCATTCTCAGGAAATATTTCAGATTCGTAAAAGTTCATTTTAATGACTCAATCGTTTATAAACATGTTGAAATGTATATTTTTTTGATTTTTTATTCCATCTCCGTATTCTTTATATGATAGATCGACAATCCAAGTGATTGGCTGAATACGAGTCAATCTTTAAATTACTAGCGCTTTCATCAAAATCTTTTACTCTCACACGGGCAATGCAAGTATATGTGAAGCGATCGAACATTATTTAATGTTAGTCTTTCGTCTTCCTATTTATTATTTACAAGAAAATAGAACTTATTCTATTAAATTGGCATCCTAATTAAGTGGGTATGCTATTAGAAAAAAAATGATAAAATAATTTTATCAAATTTGTTTTTCACTCTTTTTCATTATATTTTTATCTTAACCATATAATAAAAACCATGTGTAAGCCTATTTTAGCATAGAAGCAAACAATGGTAAAAATGACTTACATGAAGTGTATGATGGGTATTTTTATTATCCTAACGAAAAAAAGAGTAGAAAATAAATTTGATATATATATTTTAGCATGTTTTCTAATCACCCACTTAGTCAATATTGATGTCAATTGAATAGTGTAAATTGTTCAGATGTTACAAATCTGTATATTCTATGTCTATCTCATAATCAGTATTTGGAAAATACAAAAAACTCAAAATGGCGCCAAATCCTTGAAACAATCTTTATATATATATATATATTAGTTTCACAGAACATAGAATAGTTAGATGAGCTTCTTAAAGGTAGAATCATTTTTATTGTATACATTTACATATTCTAAACGTTCGATTTTTGAATTAAGTATATCTCTAGGGATACATCCAATACAAAAAAACTGAATGCGTAAAAACACGTAAAACTTCTTGAACAAAAAAAAGAAAGTATAAAAAAGGCACATTTTTACGCGTTTCTAACGCTTGAAAATCTTCAAAGAAAATATATTCGTTCGAAAGTTTTAAGACGTTTTGAACGCACAAAAATATGCGCTTTTTATTGAAATTTCGACGCGTTTTTATGAGTTTCATTTTATTGTTTGTCTGATTGAGTAGAAAAAAAAATCTAAAATTCTTCTTTTCTGGAATATATATAATCATCTATAAATTCAGTTTGTCTATAAACTAGAACGACTATAAATCAATATAGTTTGTGAACCTTAAATTAGTTGAACGGAAATTCACCTTTTATAGCTAAGAAATATCATATGATGCGTTGTATAAGTTTCCAGGAAACTCATTTATTTTTCCGACACTGATCAATCTCCAGAAATTGAATTCAATTTCCGTTGAAGCTGCCCATGGACAAAATAGCCATAATGGCCGTGATGGCCCTAATGGACATAATCGTCGTATTGGATATGATCATCAAAGATATTGAACTCTTACATGTATTCAAAATGCTTATATTCTAAAAAAACAACAGACATCACATTGCAGCAGATGTGGGTGCGGGGAAAGGAGTTTCACCGAGAAAGACTCACACAGCATCGCACCAAGTGTGGGTGCGGAGAAAGGAGTTTCACCGACAAAGGCTAATGGAACATCGCACGAGATCGTGTATAACAGTCAATATGGCCACATTATTCATTATGTTCATTACGGTCATTGGAAATCTCTTACACTTGTCCGTTCAGTAAAATGAGTTTCCCGAAAACTAATAAACTGCATCGAATCACCCACCCACCCTTCCTATGGAAATACTCATTCCCTATTTTCTCACGACATTTATTGATTTATGTGTACCATTGCTCACCAAAGTCGGTACTAAAATAAAATTATTTAACACCAATAGATAGAGAATTTTGTACTCTATACTTCCACGATCTTTTCTAGGTTTGTATCGCTGTTGCTCAGGCGAGAAAGACTTGAAACTGGCACTTGTAAATATTTTTGCGTACACCATCAAAAACTATGCTTTAAAAAGCTAACCGTACTCTATGCAAGATTAATTGTTAAGCCATTAGATGTAGAATTTAATTCTGAACAAAATAGTGTAAATATTCAACTAAACAGTGAAAATCTATGTATTGTTTCGAATTAAAAGAATAACAATGCATTCTTTTGTCAGAAACGTTTGTTTTTCGATGTCTTCAAATATTCTACTTCAAAACTGTGTTTGTCTCAAATATTTCTTCTAAAATTCTGAAACATGCATCTAAAGAGATAGGCTTTTATGGAGAACTTTGTATCATAGTTGAAGTTTCAGCGGAATTCTTATTAAAAAAATGTCATAATTTTTTTTGTTTTATTTTATCGTCGTAGCTGGACGATTCCGTATGTATTCATCTGTGAAATTTTATATTGACAAAGAGAACTTGTTTGAAAAACAATATTGACAACTTTGTAGAGCATGAAATTCTCTATCTTTTGACATAAGAGAAAAGTTTTTTTTTGATGATTAAGAAACTAGAGAAAAATGCACGATGATTTAGTACAATTTATCCTGAGATACTCTTTATAATCTAAAATTAAAGGAGAAACGTGGATTTTAGTGAATTATATTCGATCGTAGGATTGGAGGCACCGTAAAGGTCGATAATTATTTATCAGAAATCATCACAGCTTTTTTTTGAGAAAAAGAACCAGAATAGAATTATGAGTAAATTTTCACTGATTCCTTATGGGAGAAATGATCACAGAGTTTGAGATGTTTGATCGACAGTTCTTGAAAAGGTTGAACTGTAATCTAACTACCTCAGTAAAATGACTTTATCTTTGAAGATTATTAAAAATAATTAAAAAAACAGAAGAATCGATAGCATTATATTGTTACACTTTCAAATAAATGTTTGACTGTTGTTGCTTTAAGAGTTTAAGTTCGAATTTATTTTCTCCATGATATTTTGAAGTTTGCACATACCATTTGCCTTCGAATTGTTTGTTACTTAGATTCCAGTACAATTGAATCGTCACATTATGTCCCAAATTTTGTGCTAAATCACCCGTGCCTGACTTATATGTCTTAGTAAGACCTAGACGTTGCGTCTTTGTTGAATAAATTCCATTGATTTGGTACGTGCCCACATCGTCACGTCCCGTTCCATTAACCTTCATCTCACTAGCATCAAATTTGAGTGAGAGTTGATAAGGACCATGCCATCGTCTGTATTGATAATATTGACTAGTCCACGTGCCTGACTGAAAGATTACACTGTTATCCGTCTCAAGCATTTTATCGTAAGCAGCAGCTTTGATAAAGGTTGAATTAGTACGCAAGGGTCTACCTAAGAGACAGCGTACAAAAATGAAGCCAACGCAACACAATAAGCACAGTCCACCGATAACACCAAATACAAGACCAACAACAAGACCATCATACTTGCAATGATCAGTTAAGCAACCTCCACCGCCACCTTGACCTAGAGAAAAAATGCAATTTTTTACATAGTATTACATAAAGATTTTTTTATATTTTATTATCAACAATATCATAGCATCAACACATAGTTTTTCTATTCTCAACTAGTATCCTTTTTTCTCTTACTTGGTATAAATCCGCCACCGCCACCACTTCCGCCACCACCACCGCCGCCACCGCCTCCTTGCCCATCTACTATGACAATTGTAAATATAGTAAGTGTAAGAATTTCGACAATTAACTTTAATGGCATAGGTAAAATTATTAATATGGATTTATAAAGGAGAAAGTACTGACAGTACAATGATCGACTAAACTTGACTAAAACCTAAAATATTTTGAAGTTATCTTCGAGTCTTTTATATTTTTTCTGTTATCAAAATGAATCATGGATTGTTTGATTTATGTTGTCATTAACTGTTATCTGTATCTTTTCTCATTCTCACGTACTGATAGCAGTTTTTTTTTAACCAATTTGTTAACATAAGGCCTACCATTCTTCTTTGAATGTTTGTATTCTTGACTCATTTGTCAACATCGATTATCTAAGAATCGAACGTGATATCTCTCAAAATTAGCTACTTTTATTTTTCTCTCTCTATAATATGATTGTCATCTATACAGCAGTAAAACTGTATGACCAGTAATTGTTGATGATAAGAATTTTTGTATAGAAGCAAGAAATCTGGCAAGATGTTACTGCTCTATCGATCATTTCATTATTTTTTTTATAAAAACAGATACGTTATTAGTTCGATGACATCGCTGTTTCATTTTTCTATGGCATCCAAATTTAGACGTCACTTAAAAAACGAAACGAGAATAATTTCGTTATGGGTTTTTTCAGTCAAACTCGAGTTATATGACACAACATTCTTTGGTAATTGGAGAAAAGATTCGTTGTTAACTGTAGATTCATCAAAAAGATTCAACAAATTACACATCATTTAACATGATAATGTTTACAAGAATAAAAGAATAACTGTGGAAAAAAATATTATTCCCTCGACTGAAGGGAGGGCCATACGAAAAAAACTAGAATGCGTTTGTCTGTTTGTTTGTAGACAGGATCAAAGGTCGAAGGTCAAAAAAACCTCAGAAATGAAGTTTATTTAGGCGTAACATCTAAAGTTCCAGTAAAGGTAATTGAGGTCGGGAAATCCGAATTTGAGATCGGGTTTTATATTCGACCTTCCCGTTGGCTGGGGAGCCGATCAATCAGAACTGAGCTTTTTATTTTAAGTCTTTTGTACCTTATGATGGAACTTTACTATAGGCTGTCAAGGGCTAGGATTCTGAATCTGAGATCAGATTTTGTATCCGACATTCCCATTGGCTAGAAAGCCGACCAATCAGAAATGAGCTTTTTATGTTTAGGTTTTTGTACATTTTGATGGAACTTTCCTGCAGGTTATCGGTGGCCAGGATTTTGAATCTGAAGTCGGATTTCGCATCTGGCATTCCCTAGGATGGATATGGGGTGTAGGTGTGGGTGTCACTTTTAGGGAGGTCTCAAATACTTACACCTACAGCTACACTCACAGCCACAGCTACTCCTACCTTTAGACCATTCTGACAGGATCTCATTGAACTCAAACATATTGTTTGATTGTTGTTGTTTGCTTATTTGGTTTTTTTTCGCTTTTATTTTGTTCATCTCTCATTATAATCAGATTATTCACCAAAAAAAGCAAATTTATTCCATCAAGTAATAAAGCAATTCCTTTTTTGTTTTGCATTTTCTTTTCCAAAAGTTGACTTAGATTTTTTTTCATTTTTTATGTTTAATCTTGTTGAACATATTCAAAATCTCTGTTTTTCATTTTACTTCAATTGAATTAATATCAAAATTGATTCATATAACCATATCTAATTTGAATACTAGTAGCTATGCACCTTCCCAACTATAATCTTAATCTTCCTACTATAGGGTTTCATGCTATTTTCCTTCCGAACTTGAAGTGAATATTTTGCTATCATTTTCTAGTTATAATAGTTTGTGAGTTCTCATGCGATAGCAAAAAATATATGAAACATGGAATTGAAAAGAAAAAGGAAATGTCTCGTAGTGAATTCCATAAATTATCAACTAATAAAAAATTATTTATTTTAAATAAAATGTTTCCCGATCAATAGAGAAGATACATAATGGGAGCGTATTCTATAATATATAATGACGATCATCGTTACTGTTGATATCAATACCATTCGAAAGTGTTAGAAAAGCTAGATAGATAAGAGATCTTTTTCAGAGGCTACAAATTGGATATAAAATTTGCTCTTTTCATACATGATGATAGAACAAACAATTTTCTACAAAATGAGATGCCATCGAGTTTTTGTCAAGTCATTCTTTTCATGATGGTCACTGACGTGACTAAACTGCCATCACCAACAAGAGTCTGCCTGATCGATATCGATCTATATTCTTGATATATCAGAAATATCAATATTCTATTTTAATAATTGTTTCACCAGTGGCTCTTCTAGGGTTATCATCTGAAGAACAGGATTAATTAAAATTTTATCGGGATTTGAAATATGCTTCATCCATCTACAAATAACTTTCTTTGTAAACTATTCTAAATTAGTATCTTGTGCAAAATATTCTTTACTGATACGCTTTTTTCTGTTATAAACATCAACATAGTATCATGAACATTTATTAAAGACTTCGTACAGTTGATATTCTTGTCACAAAATGTAATAACGGAACTGGTCTATTGATTTATTGAACACGTATTTGATAAAAATATTTGTACTATTCGTTCTCATACAATATTAAAAAGAAAGAAAACTTAACATTGAAAATTGTATCTTTTTTTCATTTCACAATTCTGTCTCTCTCTCTCTCAACAAATTCGAACCAAATAAAAGAACACAATTATGTTTTATTAATTTGTTTTTATATTTTGTTGACAGTTTTTTTTATACAGAAAAAACAGAGGATGTAACAATGAAAATATTTCTATAAGGTTAAAGTTATATTGTTATAGGTTTTTATTGCTAGTTGAAGTGCTAACTTCTGAAATTTTATAATTATTGGATATCAGCATCTTTTCAACTTCTAAAACCAAGTCCATTGTATTGTATGCTAGAAGAAAAATGTTCGAAGTCTTTTTGAAATTATTCCAATAACCTTTACTCTATCGTTGAATAACATAAATGTATATTTATTCAGTCGACATACTTCCGAAAGAAATCCACAATCAATTTGATCTAACAAAGTTTAATTCAAATTTGCATACAGCTATGTTTGACAATTGTGTACGAGTCTAGTTAGGTTTCATAACTTTAATGACACACCCAGGTCAATCAATCCGACACGGATCCGATGGTATCTTATAGGATCCAACGAGTCCTACAAAATCCGGTCGGAATCCGGGTCACGATCCGACGAACAAATCCTAGTGTTGGAATCCGAGAAACATCCGATCGGATCCGACAGAGATCCGATCAAATTCAACAGTCGGATTCCGACGAGATTCCTATAGTATCCTATCGGATTCCGATCGGATTCCAATACTATGGATCCGTTAGTCGGATCGTGACCCGGATCCAATAAAATCCTATAGGACCTGGATAGGATTCGATGGGATCCACTGTCGGATTGTTCGTCCTGGGCATAACTAAAGGATTTGTTTGGTCATCTTAGTTTGTAATGCATTCATCAGATGTTATGTATATCTCGAATGTTAATAGAATTCAATTCAAAGTAATATATGTTGTCGGTCACTAGTGTTTTATGTGAATGATGATGATGAATATGAGATATATACTTCAAGAATTGCTCTCACCGTGTTACGTTTTAATATATTCACTATACATGGTATTTTTTCTTCGTTGAAATACGAATATAGAAAATCTAAAGTGATCAATACCGAATTGAAATCTCAAACGACATTTTTTCTTTTAAACTTTTATTTTCTATTAACAGATTCTACTGACATAGATAAATAAGTTCCGATGAGAATGTTTTAATAGAAATCTTAATTGTATATTTGTATGATGCTTTTGATAAATTTCTAAAAACTGTTTTGAAATTTTTGCTAATGTAAATATAGGAACTGTTTCATAGGCATGTTGTACAAATATGAACTAATAAAATTATAGATAAATATTGATGAAATTTTAGTTATTCTAGATGATCAATCAAAACTTTGAATTAAAGTCAATTTTTGAAACGTTCATCGATAAATAGGCCATCATTTTTTTTCATGAATTGAAAACGAATAATTTTTCCAGCTTCTTGTTTTTTACACGAGAAATATTGATGTAGAGCAATTGTCTCAACGCAATCATGATGTACTAGAGTGTATAAGAATTCAAACACACCATTTACATAGGATTTTCGATCACTATATAGGAAATATATAGAACATTGATTATCTCAAACAGACATGTTCGGAGTTCTAATGAACTCTAAACAAAATAACTTTACCAGAAGAAAGTAAGATTATTTATGAATAAAAAAGAAACAATAATAACTTATCTATGAAAACCAATTGAATCAAGTATTAATGTATAATTAATTAGTTATAATATTAATTATGCATTAAATTATCCAAATATAAATTGGAAATCAATTCGTGTTAATTCACCAACACAATCATATATTTTAAAAGTCCTTTTGTTTTCTGCATCGATACAAAAACTAATCAAACTTTTTTTTCTAATTTTAGATGTAATGACATGAAAATCATATTTACTATCTGTACTATCAGTCGTTAATAACGTTGGTGTATTGGTCCAGCAAGTGAAATAATTAAATTTCGTACACTTGAAGGCACAGCAATACATATACGAACAATTATTCAATTTGAACCAGTTAATTCTATAGCAATTATGATTAAATGGCAAGATTCATCTTTATCATATATTAATGAAATTCTGAATTCATTTGAAGCGAGACAAATTTACAAACTAGATAAATTGAATAACTAAAGCTTTTTGTTTGGTTTTAGATTGAATTTATTGATCTATACAAGAAAAAGAGTGTTGTTTGCTTGTGTTATGATTATTTTAATAAATTTTCGAACTATTGCAGAATTTTAGTCTGAAATTTTACCTGAAGACAGATCTCAGTGTCTTTATTAAATGTTGGAAGTTTCAGCGAAAGCGAATGGTTTCTTCTTCTGAAGATGTTGTCCTCTCAAAAGAAAAACTATGTTTTTTTTGAATAGTTTGCAAGAAACTAATGATTTTGCATTTCTATTATCTTAAAACAAAAGCAGTCAATTTTGCATGATATTATAAGAATTATGAGAACTATCTTCAAGTAGCATGTCAGACTGAAATTCTACGATTCATTTTTTCTCGTAATATCCAACAATAATCGGAAAATTCATTAAAATGATCATAATTGAAGAAGAAAGCACTCATGGTATTGACCCTGTTCAAACTTTTATCTGCACAATGGACGAATTCGAACACAAATTATCAATTCAAAGAGCTAATAGGAATCAAAGCTGCTGAGTACATTACAAGTAAATTTTATGTCTAGATTGTTCTGGAACATTCGAGGACATTTCAAATTCTTCGTTGAATTTCCAATGGTCATAAATGCGATAAATAAGCGATTGTATGGGCACATGTCATGTTGATGTTTAGTAGTGCATTAAATTTATAAAGTTCTCATACAATCAAGTTTTAAATTTCAGCATGAATCAATATAATAGTTTTGGTATGTCGTTATGAATATATCAAACGAATATATGCATAAATGGAATTTGTCAAATTGTTAAAAAGTTCATAACAAAATATATCTCTATCCGCAATGCTAAATAAGTAAAGATAGAATGTTTTTCTGCTAGTTGATTATCCTTGAAGATAAATTCTTAAATTTATGTGTTTCGTATTAATAAAATGAATCTAAAGAAGATAGCTCATGATAGTGTTCATAATACATTGAGTTCACCACAATTTTACCTTACATCTTTCAAGATTCAAATCCATAGTTGATTTTTTTTCTCTTTGCTAAATATTTACTTTTTCGAATAGGCTCATATAGAAATTGTATTCATTATTCCTTTCTCGTGATAAAATTCTTTTCTTCCAAATTCCTGATCAACCAGAAAATTTAACATAAATTGGCAATAACTATTTGAAATCAATGATTATTTAATCGACTATGAAGTTGAATGATATTAAAATGAATAACACACAATCGAATTTCATTGATAGTTCAATAATTGAAATCGAACATAATTTAAAAACATACAAAAAAATAAATAATTTACTAGCAAAAATTAGAAAAGGTTTTGATTTAAAACGTTCTGTAGCAACAAAATTTCCACCTAGTTATACTAGTAGAAAAAAATATTTTACGATATATTGTTTAAATCCAAATGAGAAGTTATTATTTACAATAGGCAAAATAGTCAAGTAAATAAGAAAATAATTTTCTTAAAATTAAAAGAAAAAATTTCAATTAAATATTTTCTAGTCTTTTCATAATTATTGAACAATCAATATTATTTTTTCATAATAGACTTTATCAAATACAAACGTTAGTTGACCATCGATACCGTTTTTGTAGAATAGATGCTTTCAACATAATACGATTTTCAGTCAAAAAGTAGATTACAAGGTAACATCTAAGTAACAATTCCAACGTTTAGGTTCAAATTATAATAGTGAAAATGTAAAAATTGAAATGAAATTTCTAAGTTCATATTCGGCAAGAGTGTTTCGTTGGAAATCCTTTCTAGTGGGACAAAAATGAACAAACATATCGTATAAAAACTTTCCAATCACACTCGACCAGTTAAGATATATAAAATAGATATCTTATATAGTTTTTCAATTGTGTATATCTAATAATTTTGACAAATAGCTTTTTTCCTATTCAAAATCTCAATATTTTTACTGGGATCTGTAGTTTTTGATTTTAATGAAGTTTTTAAATTCTCGAGTGCTGTTACTGAGGACAAAAGTCATCAATCCTATAACATTCCGTAACTGGTATATGGCTGGCTAGAATATTACTACTTGATACGTCACGAGTTGCTCTAGAAAATGGTATAGATGACTTTATCTATTGAACGTTTGTTATCTGTTCTGACAAAGTTCTTTAAAATGAAATATTCTCGTCCGTTACAACCAATGAATACAATTCAATCATTAAAAATAGAATTATTATTTAATAATTTACTACCAGCAAATATTGAAATCGATGCAATAAATGGAACATTTACTAGAATTCGTTGTGATTCATTAGATTCTATTGATAAAGAATATCTATATAGTCAATCGGTTATATTTATAACAGACGAAAGTAGTATGTAATCAAGATTTGTTTTTTTTTGTTTTATGATATAATTTTTTTCTAGTTTCTTCAAAATCAATAGAAGCTTTCTTTCCTGGTGTTGATTATTGATCTGCAAGAATGATATGGCAACCGCTAACGTAATTAAATGAAATTCTAACTGGTGTAACAAACTCGACTCTAGCTGGAAGTTAGTTCATATTTGTAAGAAAATTATCAACAATGCTAGGCCTCAAAGGCCCAAAAGCTAATCACTTATAATATTATATGAAAGGATAATAACAGTTTAAGTTAAATGATTGTTTATATGAATTTTTGTAAATGACTAATTTAGCTATATTTAATTTTATCGTTGATTTATTTAAATATATAAAAAAAATGATTTTCATTTGGAATATGAAATTTTATTCATTTACATGGATCTGAAAAAACAACATTAAAGTTTTTTTTTCATTCTTTATGCAAAAACTTGAGTAATCATTTATTAATAATAGAAAAACAAGGTAGACAGTAAAAACTCTTATTTACTAGGAAAAGAAAAGAAAATTTTAAAATCGATCTGTTGCTTCATATCCATCAATAATAATTACATATGAACAAGAACAAACAACATGATAGTAACCTTATGATCGAATTAATATATCTGATCGATGAATAACAATATTACTTATTCAAACGTAAAAACCAACTCATTATTTTTAAATTGTTTTTCTAAAGAAAATCATTCCTATTTCAGCTTAGTAGCAAAGAAGTTTTCAATTGTAGGACTTTCATCTACTAATCCCATGTATCGATGAAACATTTTGAGAGAATATTTCTTAATTTTTGAAGTCAAAAGTATTTTCACGGGAGTCGAACGATAAGAGCTCGCTCCTTAGGTATTTTTCTAGTACAATAAAATTAATAATATCGACGAAAACAAAAATTGGTTTTTGACAGAAAATAAGTCATGTCTACTGATAATGTTTGTTCAGATTGAATCATATATGTATATTTTATTTACTACCATCAATATTCAACTGAAAAATTAATTATATATCAGCAAATCAATCATGTGAAATCGAAATTTATCTTCAAGTAAACGTATTGAAGTGATTTTTATTTTCAATTTTTTTTTCTTAATAAACAATTTTGTTTCAATTGATAATAATGCTCGTTTAAAAGTTTCAATTCGATATTAGTGATTTGATTTCAACAGAAATATTAATTCAATGGGATAGAAATCGAATCTTATGAAAACTTTTTAATTTTCTGTACAATTATTTGGCTTTGTCTTAACGAGTTTTCATATGATGACAGTGAAGCCGCATTCAACAGACTTGTTGATCTTGTGTTTCTAAGATAACGAATATGTTCATTTGAATGATGCACTCTAATTAATTTTCAAAAGTCGTACGAAAAAATAATTCTATGATTTATGATTCATATTAATTGCTTTTGTTTTTTCGATGATGATGATGATGAATAGAAATTTCTTCTGATCCAAAAAAAAGAAAGAAAAGAATATGTATTGTCCATGAAGGACTGTATATGAACAAAGGACAAGTATTCACATCCATGCACATGAAAAACGATGAAATTAATTCGTGTCTCATCATTTCAATTAATCATGTGATGATTAATCAATTATATTTAAATGTGCACATCATCGTCAATTATCGTTCGTCAAATTGATATCAACATCATTAGAATGTCTTTGATTGGCAATGTATGTCTAAAAACATATATATAAGAAACACATTTTCACCAGTATTCTCATACGATTCGATCGAACAAATCATGAGCATGCTCAATAAAGATAAAACATGACACTCATATGATTTATTTTTCACGGTTTACAATTTTTTATATTACTTACAATAATTAGTATTATTTTACATTATGATTTTTCATGAATGATATACAGTTATCAATTTATAATTATTTACAATGCTACGTATGAGTTTATAATGCATTAAAATGTATACATTTATAATGAAATTTATTACATAATGTTATGTTAAACCTTTGAATTCTATAGTAGGAGAAAGAAATCTATACATGTTTAATAATTATTATTTAATTTACTGAAATGTAGCAATAAAGAATGTTCAACGGTGTGGATGTGGTGGGTATCGAGTTAGTAGATATGGGTGTGTAGGTGTGCGCACGTGAATCCGTATGCGAGCATGTTGGTTTTTATCTGGACGTGTTAGTGTCCAGCAGAAATAATTTGGGACGCAAAGGATTAAAATACATTAATTTCCGATGATATTTATTAATCTATATTATATAATGATGCATTTTTTTAGAACGAAATCTAGGGATGGGTGTTATTAAAATTCATTTCTGTACAATTCAATAAATGCATTATATTACAATGAAATTTATCAATTTCATGATGTATTAAAATGTTTTGATTTACAATGAAACTTATTGTATGATATTATGTTAAACTTCATTAATTTACAATGATATTCATTGAATCATATTATATTAAAATGTATTATTTTAGAATGAAATTTATTGAATGATGTTATTTAAATTCATTGCTTTACAATGCATTAATTTATAATGAAATTCATTCATTCAATGATGTTATATTATAATTCATTTTTTTATACAATGTTTTTGATTTCAATGATAATATATGTTAGGATATATTGATTTATGATAGAAATTTATTCTATTATGTTTTTAAAATTCATCTGTTTTTTTTTGAATTATATGAAATTATAAAAAACATAAGAATGTTAAAAAAGAATATGATTTATTATTGATTTGTACCAATAACAAGATTGGGTATGTTGCTTCAAAAATGATCTTATTTATCTTGAGAAAGACTTGAACACATAAATAAATAGTTGAAATATTAAAAAAAAACTTCTTTTCTGTTTTCTTGAAAGAACAATTCTAAATTGAATTTTCATAACAATACTTACATTGAGATAATCGTTAGAATGAGATATAGATGATTTATTTCGGATGAAATAATTTTTTTCTTCGTTGTTGTACATATTTAGTGTATAGTATTATTATGTTACGTCTATGTTATTTATGTTAGAAGATAGATACCAATTTATATCACAGCCTTATCAGGTGGCGTCGTAACGTGATCTAGAGAGAGATTCTATTCGTCATGGAATGGCGAAAGCAGTGTAGTGCTCGGGAAGGCCTTTAATGTACGTAGGTCCCTGCCGTCATTATGTACGGTACACCTATGTACATTGCCCTACCAGTCCGGCTTGGTCCGCTCTGTGTGTACCCGTTTCATACGCATAGAGCCCCTCCCTGATCGCGCGCGCGCGTACGCTTGAAAATGAGCCTAGAAAAGTCGGGAAGTGAAAAGGAATCAAAACCAATTTATTGAGCAAGTAAGCGAAAAAAAAATAATGAATTACATTTTCTTTCGAATTTTTTCAAATGTTTCTTTATATTCCAAAAGATGAGGATGAGTTGAAGGTAATTTTTCTTGAGCTATTTCAACTGCTTGTTGAATATTTTTCATTGCCATACTATATTTTCGTGTAGCCAAATATAATTTTGCCATATTATGATATACAACAGCTAAACTAGGATGATTTTTTGGTAATTTCTTTTCACGTATTTCTAATCCTTTTTCAAAATATGTCAATGCTGTTGAATAATCTTTCATTTCACGATAAGTTTCACCTAAATTTATATATGTCGTTGCACATTCCAGAGGATTACATTGAACATTTTCTTGAATATTTAATGCTTTTTGATGAAATGCAAGTGCCTTTTCATAATTACCCATTAATCGATGAACATCGCCAATATTACTGTATGTTAGAGCTAGATATGGATGATTTTCAGGTAAGGCTTTCTGACGTATTGAGAGACACTTTTCGAAATTATCAAGTGCCTTTGAGTAATCTTTCATACTGCGATAAATCTTTCCGAACCAGTTGTATGGAAAAGCCAAATCTGGATGATTCTCAGGCAGAACTTGTTTTGTAATTTCAAAGTCCTTTTTAGAATATTCAAGTGCTGTCGAGTAGTCACCCATGTTGAAATACACTGTACCGATGTTATTGTAGGAACTAGCCAAATCGGGATGATTCGGAGGTAGGGCTTTTTTTCTTATTTTATGTGCTTTTTTATAAAATTCAAGTGCTTTCGAGTAGTCACTCATATCGTTATACACTTGACCGATGTTGCCGTAGGAAACAGCCAATGAGGGATGATTCGGAGGCAGAGCTTTTTTCGTGATTTCGAGATCCTTTTCGTAAAATTCAAGTGCTTTCGAGTAGTCACCCATATTGTTATACACTCCACCGATGTTGTCGTAGGAACTAGCCAAATCGGGATGATTCGGAGGCAGAGCTTTTTCTTTTATTTTATGTGCTTTTTCATAAAATTCAAGTGTCTTCGAGTAGTCACCCATGTTGTTATATACTTGACCGATGTTGCTGTAGGAAGTAGCCAATGAGGGGTGATT